TATCAAATTAATTTTTGGGACCTGACTGCTGACAAAATTCATTTTATGGCACTAGGACTGGGCTACTGCAATACACAGCCTCAAAGAAAATATGAGAAAAGCTGGTAAAACTGAGTAGAATAGGGAAAAAAACCCAACACAAAACTGGATGTTGCAGAGGTCTAGTAAAAATTTCAGAATTAATCCACACTGCATTTGTTAAATTGTTAATTCTCTCTTACCTTCTCTAGTGCAAAAGAGAGCCACTTTGCTTCTGCTTTGACACGTCTGTCTAAATATTGAAACAAAAACATGATGGAAATCTTAATTAATTAATTAATTTTGGTACTTTGAAAATCAGCACAGGTATTGAACTCACTGCTGTAACCCAGCTGTTAAAAATTCCGCCAAACTGTAAAAAGATACAGGAGGAGCTTCTAATATCAGATCATCCATTGTTTCCAGTGTCTGCCTGGAGGTAATTAAAAATACCAGTTCAGCTTCACAATGTATTTCATGAGTGTGTGCTACAAATTTTGCAGACTACCTCACACCATGGGCATGGCCCAGCTCTGAGATCAGCTGGGATATACAGCCTGTCAAATCCTAATTTATGACACCTGAAAGCAGAGATCACCAGTCTCCTTTTCCTTACAGTCTAAGGATAGAATTTTTTTCAAAATGCCTTTGATAACAGATGATCTTTCATGCCCTAAAAGTTTGGATGCTTGGAAAAAAATGCAAGAAGTTTGCATAAGAAGGTATTAAACCAATCAAAACTAATCATTTCTGTTGAAAATTTTCAAATGAGAGAGGAAAGAAGTCACTTTTTTGTCAAGGGAAGGGAAATCCTTGTAAAATCAGCAAGCATTGTTGCACTGACAGCCAAAACAAAAACAGCCTCACCCTTCATGCAAGGCTCTAAGCTTCTCACTTCATGCTGCCCATTGTCTGGATTCTGGGGGACTGGAACATCTGCTCATACATACTGCTTTCATTTATGCAAGAGATTCATCAATAATCCTCATTGGTGATGTTTTCTCTCCTTGAACCGGTACTTTGGGCAAAACTGGATCTTTTGCTACTAGTTCTTGTAACTCAGGGGTTCCAAATTGATCCTTTCACATGTTTCCTAGCAGACCTCTTTCAACCAGGTCAAAAAGGACCTTGAAATTTCTGCTTTACACTTTAGTGACTGAACAGAATATGACTGTGGATCCACCCTTGCATCTGGTCACAACCCAAGGTGTTTATGATAGTATTACTTTGGAGAAAAGAAAGCATTCAGATACTGTAGGCTAGAGGGAAAAGTGAGAAAGGAAAAGAGATTAGAAGACAACTTTCAAGTATCAGGCACTATCTAGTAATGGCCCTTTTAGATGAAGAAATAAAAAATGAACTTAAATGAATGGGGAAAATACTAATGTTAAACAAAAAAGGTGCAAAGTTGAGATGTAAGAAAGCAAAAGTAGATCCTTGCAGATACAATCTTCTTAGTATTCTGTCATTAGGGAAAAATTTGAGTACAGAAAATAATGTAGCCAAGCAAAAGAAAAGTCAACTTGTTCCTCAGATTTGTGTCTTCACACATATTATATCTCTACAGTTACCCAAGACAGTCTTTCCTTGTGAAACAAAAGGATTTTCTATGGAAGAAGGATGTTCTGAAATTTCCTAGGCATTTCAAAGAGAACAGGGAAACAATCAATCTGCTTTTTGAAGAATGCAGTTGCAGATGGGGGTTAGGTGGCTCTCCCAGTTTTGCCCGGAATTTCTAAGTTCCCTGGCTCTTCAGTCTCAAAGTCACACTTTGAATGTCTCAATCATGAGATCCTGATTTTCATTAGCAACTACCTGGCTATTTGGGGTAACTGAAAGGAATATACCATCATCTGAAGCCAGAGGAGCTGCCAAGGAATCCTACTGTAAGCAGATACAGCCTTTGCTAAAGAAGCTCTGGTCACTCAAATGTATGAATCCAGACTGCATGGACTGCAGAAGACAGGAAGATGTTGCTGCAGGTTTTGCTATATCCTACTTGCTCAACTTTCTTGCTCAGCAGAGATTTCATTAAGATGTCCTGACCAGGTGCTTCAAGTGCATCACCTCCGTATCACTCAAATGCTGTTATTCTAGCAGAACAGGTCCCTGAGGATCCACAAGGTGGACTCAAAAGAGGCTACAGTTGTAGACACTAAAATCACCATAGACTGTATCTTAACAAGTCACATGAGTGTGTGCTGAGATTTATACACAGATACCTTGAAAAACAACAAAGCTTACCAAAGGGAGTTTGTCATCCTCCAGCAGTGAAAACAGATCCTGTTTACTTGTTACTTACCCATTCACTAGAAGTGCGTGTAAAGTAGATGCATTTTTATTCTTCCAGTCTGAGTGCAGATTCAGCCATTTTTGGTGCTGTATTTCCTCATTCTCTCTTACAATCTCTGTTTTGGATGGTCCTCTGAAACAAATGAAAGACATTAATAGAACTTCCTGTAGGTTTCTGTGTGGCAGTTATAAAGGTGACGAGGCCCTAATGCCTCCTGTTTGCTCCAAAGATACACAGGTGAATGTTATGGCAAAGCCATGTTTGGAAGATTCATAGGAGAATGGAATTCACCCCAAGAAGCCAGGCCAGCCAACATGTGACTGTCGTATTGTACTTTCTGACAATAATTGGAATTTGGAACAGCAAGAGCCTTCTGGTGGCATTTACTACAGGGCACACATTGATACTGTTTCAACAGTTTCTTGCCTCCAAAAACAGAAAAAACTAGAACTTCATATGTAAATAAGGTAAAAGAAAAACTATTTTCTTACATTCTTGTCTTTGGAAATCCATTAAAATTTAACAGTAAAGAGCAGTCTGGGTCCTGTTAATAATACTTGACACTATCGCTAAGTCTAAGCTGTCTGTTTGCAACATAGAACAAATCATGGGTGATGATGTCAAACATGTCCTTCTGCAGCTAATTATCAGGTGTATGAGGGTAAGTTAGAATATTTTCACATATATGCTTCCTCAATCTATTTATTGCCTAATAGACTCAAGCCACTGAATGTTACTAAATCTCAATTGCTAAATGGAAAACCCAGTGCGTTTCTAAATGGCTTTACAAGTCATGCAACTTTCCAGCACAGAAACATCTATTATTAGCCATCAATTGCTACCAATGACATGGACTTTCAAGGACTGCTCTCCTGAACACTAGTTGAAGCCCAAATTTTGGGTCCTAGTTCATGGAAAAGAGAATGATAGAAGTTCAGAAAATCTGTGCTATGTCCTAAAACTGACCTCTGAACCAGTGTCTCATGACAGTGCTTAGGAATGCCAGCCAGGTTATTAGTCCTATTTTCAGTAGTGACTATATTTCTTTCTAAATATTTACAGAACTCTAGCATCCTTTACCCACTTGATTGCATAAATTAACAAATATCGAAGCATTCTGTTCTATGGTAAAGTTGTCAGTGTAATCTGTGAGGAATTAAAGATAACCTTGCCTGTCTCAAACACTGTTAAGGCTACAAAAGGGACTCTCCCTAAGATAAGACACATTAGCCACTGTGGCAGCAACTTGAGATAAGCACAAAAGAGATGAATCTATACTAATTCTGGTTAGCACATCCTGATGAACATATCTGGACAAAAATTCTCGCTGTGGCGAACTGTATACACATATCACTGGTCAAACAAAGATGACCCCAAGTTATCAGACAGGCAGTATCTGTGACCACCAAACCCCCACCCTGAGGAAGCATGCAAATAAAGGCACATCCATCCTCACTTCACATGTGAGTTAGGAATATGCCTCCATGGATCCTCAGAATTTGGACTGTATAAAGGTGGTACTCCAGGATGAACAATCAGAGACCATCAAGAGCATGATTTGAGACCCCCACCACCAGAAGAATGACTTGGGACCTCCACCACTTGAGAAGCCCAGGGTGAAGAAGGACCAATGGGATGCTGCTGGATCCACAGGTGGTGACTGCCTCTCTCTGTCTCACTCTCTCTTTCCTCCTGCTCCTTCCTACATCTTTCTATCTCTATACCTCAGATTTTATTGTTTTATTTAAACCTATATTTTTATGTTATTCACGTATTATTGACTTTGGCATATGGTCTCATTTGCACCTTAATTTGGGCAGAGGTACCTCTCACAGGACTGTAACAGTCACCATATGGAAATGTTTTCAACAGGGCTGGCAGAATGAACTAGGCTTTGAGGTCACAGCCCTGAATTCTGTCTGTTATATGACTTATTTTTCAGAACCTTCTCTGGGCATATTAAGCAAATATCATTCCCTGATCTACTAACCAGAATGTGTAGGCAGATACTAACAAGCATTTTTAAAGACTGTTTTTCACTCATTTTGAGAAAGTTGTTTGCTGCAAAAAGAATATTCTTTCTCTGTGCCTGATTTAGAGCAAACACATAAAGCTCTTCTCTCTTAATTTCCGTATTTCCCACCAAACATACATCAACTATTTTTTTCTTAAGATGACGTTCTGCCTTATGATCTTCTGTGAAAAATGTTCACCATTTCTTAACTGTGTACAGTGACATTTTATGTAACTGTAAACAGTGTCTAATCTATAAAATATGTAACTCTCAAATGTGCAAAAAAGGTGCAAATATCATGCCATCTGATGAATACAAATCTGTATTATCCCAAATACCAGACTGTTTTGCTGAATGACAGCTTACAGTGATACTGCAACCTTCATTAAGGAGATATGTACTTCTAAATCAACGTAACAGCCTACAAGACACTGAAGCCTGTATGAAATTTTATAATTATTTATACAAGGTATTATACTTTGTAAGATTATGGCTATGCCTTTTTTCATGGGTGGTAACAGCTTGATATAATACACTCACACCCAGTATACATTGATTAATGTCTTTAGAATGCCTTCTATAAACATTTAATTAGACACAGCAAGAACAAAGGGGACCTAAGAGCCTCATTTCTAGATGAAGAAAGCTGAAGACAATGATGACATTTGGATAGAGACTAGAGCATACTCAGAATTCCCAGAGAATGAGAGAACATGAGCCAAAAATGTTAGAAGTAAAGACTCAGCCTAGTGTGAGCTCCTACATTTGAGACTTTCAGAGGGGCTGCTGGGCCAGGAGTACACATTATGCCCAGGGTTGTAAATCAATCAGAGAAAAGGAGGGAGGAGGAGGAGTGAGGACTCATTTTAGTCAGACCCATCCCATGCTCCAAAAACACAGCAGGCAGCAGGTTCAACTCAGCCCCTCTTGGAGCTGTAGCACACAATTTCTTCTTAGAGTAGACACATTCTAAAGAAAAGGGAAGAAGGATCTCTCAATGGACAGAGCTGTGCCAACTCGCAACTCACGAAAGTATTTGGCTTTACTGAGTTTCTTAGACTCCTAGACCACAAGGCTATAGCTGCTAACTACCTTTAGACATCAAGCTACATCATCAAGTTCAAAATTAGCTCTCCTGACAGTTTTCTACTTTAGTGGCCTGCTGAAGTTTTAATATCTTTCATTAAAAAAGAATCTTTCTTTGGCTTGCCTAAAATCTGGAAACACTTTTAGAAGGCTCTTTCACTTCTCTTCAGGTTTTTTCCCCCTCTTTGGTTTGCATATAACAGAACAGCTTTGTTCAGAAACTTGGTGTGGATTTTAAACTAATGCTTTTAATTATTACCTGTGCTACAACAATAAGCTAAATTAAAACAGTATTTGTTGACTGAAACCATATATAACTGAAACACAGTGAGCAGTTTTGAGGCATCTTGGTTTAAAAGGATATTCATAAACTGAAAAGGATCACACATTTCAAGTTTTCTAGGGGCCTCTGGCACTGATGCACAAGGAAAGGTTGAGGGAACTGGACTTGCTTACTCTTGTGAAGAGGAAGTTACAGGACAATTTAACAGCAACCTGCATCTATTGAAGAAGAGTTAAAGCATGATGGAAACAAACCTTTCTCAATAGTGCTGCATGGTGAAAAACTGGAAAATGGCCTAAAGTTACAGCTTTGGAGATTCATAACAGACGAAAAGGAAATACTTTTTCACTGGGAAGGTGAAGTATCTGTGGAAGAGAGAGACTGTGGAATCCCAATCCATCAAGGTTTTCAAGACTTGGCTAAACAGGTTGAGCTAATTTTGTTTTGGCAAAAGTTCTGCTTCAAGTGGGAGATGGATTAGATGTTCTCCAGATGTCTGTACAGTGAGGATTTTATGATTCTGTTGCACAGTACAAACACACTGTAGTGAAAATTCAGCTCAAAGAAATCTTATGAGGCCATGTGATCCATTCCTTTAATCCAAAATAAGATCAACCATATCTAAATTCTGACAGATTTTTGTCTCCCCTGTTTGTAAACACCTCTATGGATGGAGAATCCTCAGCATTTCTAGGCAATACATTCAAGCTATTTTTTTTCTAATGTTTGTTCCAAATCTTCCTACCAGTCATTGAAGCTCATTACTCTGACTTATTTCAATTGGAAATGGAGCAGAGTTTATTCCCTACCTTTTACAGCAACCTTTTATATATTTTTAGGCTCCTATACCTCCCTCCCTGTAACTGATCACCAGGAGTTTCCAACCTTTCTTCACAGATCATGCTTTCCAGGTTTCTGGTCATTCCTGGTGACCTATTCCAAACTCTCCCCATCTAGTAAAAATCTAATACAAACTGAATACCCCAGAGGGATTACACATAAACACCTCTGGTTAATTCAGGCCATTTCTCAAGTCTGTCAGAAACTCTAATCCTATCCTCCAAAATGCTTTCAGATCCTCCCAGCTTGATGCTAAATGAGAAATTATCGAGCACTCTCCACTCTATCATCTGAATGACACACAACACCACCAAGTATCACCCCAGACACACTGGGATGTGTCTAGGCCCCCATCCATACATTTTTATGGTTTGACAATGAATGAATCATCAACAGCCTCACATCACTTCATCTTTGTCCATATCTCAATACTTGTTTCAAAAGTAACGTCCCGTAGTGTGAAAGTTAAAAGGTATATCACAGCTACAGTTTCTTTCCCATCCACTGTGTCTACTATTTCAAGGAATAAATTAAGGGTCTCTGACATGATTTGGTTTTGAAAAATATATTCTCTCTCTCATTAAGACCTTATACTTCTGTAATTATTTGTTGGTAATTGAAGCTAGGCAGCTAGTTTGTAAATCTCTGCATCTTCTTTGGTTATCCTTTTTAATGAAACATAGCATACCAAACAGTTTTCTCCATTCCCTAGGAATTCAGAAATTCAAAAAATTAGGGCTACCATTATTGTCAGCCATAATGGAGAACCAACATAGCCATAACTCTTAGATGTTCTTGGATGAATTTCAGCAAAACTAGCTACTTCAAAGAGCAGTGTATTACCTATTATTTTCTTACTCTAGCCCTATTCCTTGTAGTAAAAGGAATTTTACAGAAAAAGACTTTTTA